CTGTCGGCTATTGGGGGAATTTGGTGCTCGCACTCGCCTTCGCGAAGTCCGATAGCAGGTTTCTCCCCTCCGCCCAAAACCCTGAAGGGGCTATCGGCGCCATGTCCAGGCCGCACCCCCTTATTGGCCACAGGAGCCCGGTACACGTCCACTAGTCCCCGTCAGGGTCCTTCCCGAGCAGCCACGAATGGAACGGTCGTACGCCAACGTCAGCCCACACTGCTGGGCGCACTTATCCCTGTCCAACGAGCGCTGGTGGAGAATTCCGCGACTCCCAGAGACGTTGTGAGTGCAACGCAGTTCGTTGGTTTGATAGAGCAGGATCGACGTGGCAAACTGCCTGAGCTCCTGCTTGTTTTCTCCATCCGAACAGCTTCCTCGTTCCTGTTCCTGATCGGCAGCCACGGAGAGATCCAAGATGTCAGCCCCTGGCGCACGCGTGGGAAGCGGACAGACAGCTCCGAGGCTGGGGAAACCGATGGGGCGGGCGGCCGGAGACTTTCGACCGGCGTGCGTTGCCTGCCGGGTGGCAGTGTAACATCGCGGCTTCATTGCGGGAACATGATAAAGCCCTTGTCACCTCCCCCCGTTTTTCCCATTGTTTTCCTATGCCTTTGTTCTGTTTTCCATCCGCGGGTGGATCGCAAAGAAGACCCTGAAAGTTTCCATCTTCGAGATCCAAGGGGCTGAGAGATGGCATCCACCCTTTGCAACTTCGTGGCCCACCCAGTACCTCTCTCCGTGCAACCACGCACCCGCCCCACCTAGGGTAAATGATCGTGGACATCCACAAACAGCAGCATCCACAACATCTGGCAAGATGGCCGAGCGGTCTAAGGCGCTAGCTTCAGGTGCTAGTCTAGAAATAGGCGAGGGTTCGAATCCCTCTCTTGTCACAATCTCACGGCATTGAGCCGTCACTTTTTGGTGTTCTGGAGACATTTTTGTTGTTGCGACGTTTGTCAGTATGCATACGTCGTGAGGCATGTCGTCCGACACGTGTGGAAGTTCCCAGTTATGTCGCGATCCTGTGCCTTGTGCGACTGCGATCAGAAGTAGCCTCAGCCGAAGGCGTTGAGGCCTGGCCACCCTTGGACTATTTAGCCGTACCTCTCGGGAACCTCTTCCTGTTATCGGGCAAATCTTCAGGGCTCTAGCCCCTCCTGTAGGAATGGAGATCCGTGAGATTCGCCGTTACACACCTCCCTTGGGGCCCTTCAGGTTGAGGTTTACGAAGAGCCGTTAGGTTGTACAATCAGTGTGCTATACACTACCACGCTGTCGCCGTCGTAAGTGTATTCTAAGGAATATTCTGAGAATGCGGGTGGCATACGCCGCTGAGGGATTGTCGATGAATGCATAGTTAGTAAACTTGGTAAATGGTCTTGAGAGTTATGTCACTTGGGTTCCAAATCCGGAAGTTACCACACAGTCCCTGGCTGCGGCATTACTCACAAGCTATCGCCCATTTTGCGGTTCCTTATATCCCAGTCTCCAATCATGCCCATGCCTCTTGACTTTTGGACATTCAACTCCAGAAGCCTGCGTTTCACTCAGCTACGTAGCGGAATGACGGGTCCTCCGGTCCCTCAGTTGCGTAAAGGGAATGTTCTCGCACTGGATTAATGTTATACCAATCGATTGCTAGCTGGAATCTTTTTCAGTAGGAGGCTCCTTGTGCGGCATGTGTTTGTTGTTGTCGTCATCCAAGGTCCCGGCTGGCGAAGAGTGGGTGACCATGGGACTTGCCGGGGGCTTGCCATGTCGTTGTAGTCGGTTTCTTCAGCTTGAATACGCCGAGGGGGACGGACGTAAGACAGTAATACACCGCAAGAATTTGACTGGGTTAAAGGGTATGCCACCACGGGGCCCTGCCTTGGCACTCGATAGCAATATCTTACTCAACTGAAAATGTCCACAGCGTCGTACATCTTTGCGTGTGTTCATGAACATCAGGCTGGCTGGCGGGCTATAATATAGCCCGAAACTGAGGTTGTAGTCTGATGAAGCTTTGACAGGCATGCATAGCGGGACCTCGAGGGGTGTCGTTCAAAGCTGGGCGTTCGTCAGTCTGACGGAAATCCGGAGGAATCCGAAGGTATATAATGTCACTTCAAAGCAAGGTGTAGACCCTGGAAGACAGGACAATGGCGCGTTATGTTGTAGAGGTGTGGTCCTTCGAAGCCCAGCCGGAAACACGTCGGATCGCTCGTCCAGCAGACCTCCGAGGCCTCGTCAGAGACCTGTCTTCCAGAAGAGTTGGAATTCGAGGCTGCGATTGTCTGTTATCTCTATCATCCTTGCAGATTATGTGTTTGTATACCCTAAGGATGCCGGTGACACTGAACAATATCTTAAACATGTTTTGGGGAGTCCGCGGTCTGCCTGGCATTGTTGCAATTCTACTCCGCCATCATGTCGCTAGAAGTACACAGCCAATTGGTGCTCTTGGATCAGACCGGAAGAATTTGCTGCCTTGGGTTTCAAGGCGTTGCAAAGGGAACTTCCGCTGCTTGATATATATACGTGCCACTTTGGAGGCGTGCCGGAGCTTTCGTGATAACGTGCGGGATGGGCTCCTTGAAGGGCCGCTGAGAATCGCCATTGTTCGTTGGCACTCTTGGCCGGTGTTTCATTCCACCACTGCAACGCTATACCTATCCTAGGCTGACAATAGCTCAGGGAAATGTCATCCTTTTAGAAACCTTATACGTTCCTACTGGTAAGCAAACCCTCTGAATATCACCGCATAAGCTTGAACGCGCGCTCTGGCCGAATGGACCAGTGAAGGCTGTGTGTATTGTCAGGAGGTGCGGGCTAAGAAGGCCTGGTGTATTGAGCAGGTAAAAATCACTGTGAACGGCCAGAGGCCTAACTATTATCTTACATATAGGTTATAACCTCGAGGCTTCCTCAACATGGATAGTTCATAACAGTTCATCCGTTACAAGCTCCTGCCCCTCCTTCAAAATATTCGCAATGTACTTGCTTGTCCAATTCCAAAGATCCTCCTGCTTTACCTCATCATAGCTGCTGACACTCGACTTAATCTCGGTTCTAGCATCATAATACACACCGCTGGTAGATGTCTCTGATGCAACCCAAGCCAAATTCGACCCCGATTCCTGGGCCGTCCAAACACTGAAAGACAGGACTCGACGCAGCAATGGGACGAGTGTGGGGAGCACTCTGCGCCAGAAAAATCTGAACACAGGTCCTGCTTCACGCGCCAAGCCTGTACCAGGCATCATACCTGGATCAAACACAACGACAGTCCATTGCTTGCCCGGAGTGCCAGCAAACCGGCGATGCAAGGCATACGGCCACAGGACGTTGCACAGCTTGCTTGTTGCATACCGCTGCATTCCGCTGTTTTTTGCTACTTCGCCAGTTGGATGTGCCAGTTCTTCTGCAAAAGTGTAGTCTGCATCGGGCACACCCGTCTTTTGCGCTGGGTCGTGCGTTGCGCTGCTCGTCACGACGACCCGGGCATTATCTGCAAGAAAAGGTCGGAGAAGGTGGAACAAGGCCGCGTGTCCAACATGGTTGATGCCAAATGTTGCTTCCAAGCCGTCACTTGTGTACTTGATACCATCGGGAAACTGCATCGCGGCGTTCAACAACAAGATGGAGATTGGCGGCGTGCCTCTCTCGGAGAGAGCGATGGCAAAGGATTTGATGCTCTGCAGATCGCCCAAGTCGAGCGGGAGGAAATGAACGTCTTTGTGCCCTGTGAGTTGTCGTATGGAAGCAGCTGACGAGTTTGAATCGCTTCGAGATGCAATCATGATGGTGCTGTCTGGAAGTTGGCGGGCAAGGCTGGTAGCGGCATGGTAGCCAAGGCCAGAGGTGCCCCCGGTGATGAGGACAGTTCGCTTGGTTTCCGTCATACTGTCGAAGAGATTGAGGAGTGTTGATGATAGAGAGCCATGATGATCTGTGAAGGACGCTTGAGGAATTTATATTCAGACGCTCTACGTACTATCCAAGTCGGAAACGACGGTGGTCCTCCAGCTAGCAGGATCCCACATTACGGAGATACTTGACCATGATGTCTTCCCACCCAATTACGAACTACGTCTTGCCTCGGCGGAGCAAGCATGTTGCAGAAGCTCTTGAGTTGCCTAGGAGTGAGTAATGTACCGAAACAGATCTCTATTTTGCGTAAGCCTAACGTGCCATGCCACACAGTGGAGCTCTTCCGAGATATGATGAGGGTTCGAACTAGCAGGGGTGTCATCAACCTGCAGCACGGACTTGCGAACTATCCGTATCCCGTAGTGGAATATTTTCGGCTTCCCGGCTTGGCACGTCTCCCCGTATTGCCTGTGTGCGGATGTTATGGCAACTCTATCACGAAAACCTACTGGTTGATATTCTCTATGCGGCCCTCTCCCGTTCTCTTTTCTTCTTCACTACATGCTACAAGTACTCTCGACTCTTTTACATTGCGGTTGAAGTACCATTTCGCCAGGGTTGCTGCGACAATGGCTCATCTGTCTGAAGCTGGGGGTGAGTGGAGAGAAAATTGGACGGTAGTGGCCAGTTCTACTGAGAGAAGGAGGCGACAAAATCGCTCGAATCAGAGGGCGCATCGTTAGTCTTCGCCTATACCCTGTCCTCCTTCCACGCTCATATGTTGATAAGGACCAGGGAAAAAGAGACATCTGGAGCGGTGTGCGGCCGCTGCCTCAAACGACATTCCCGAGTCTTGGCTCTTAGTCAAAGACAGGACAATGTCTGATGGCCGCACTGAACAAGACTACAACTCAGAGCGTAGCCATGCTACTGTGCGCCATGCCCGCCACGGTTGGCCACTCAACTACATCCTCTTACACTATCCCAAGTCCCATGAGAAGGCAGCTGAGTTTGTGCGATCAGTCATCGCAAACTGTAGCATCAACGGACCGAGACTCAGTAACCTACCCATACTCGCGCGTCTCAATGTCATCAACGCGTTGGCTATCAACGCCCTGAAACTGAACTTTCCGTTCGAGAAGATGTATCACGATGAATGCATTTCTCCATTCAACTTACAGGGTCCGAGACCCCAAGACGCCACCACCTTGTTGTTATCCGTGCCAGATGGGCTTCGCCCAACTGCGCTGCAAACAACTATACAGCATCATCCCTGGATCGATCTTTTCCCGATTCCTGTCATGAGAGATAATATTCTGCGAGGAATCGAAGCGGGTGTAATCAATAAGGAAGAGTTATGTGGCGATATGATGAGAGTCGAGGATGCAGATGATGCGGTGGCGCCTTTTGCTGTCTGGGGAGAGGCTTGGGATGTCAGGGGCTGGGAGATAAGTCCTGCATTTTTGAAAAAATGGGGTTGGTTGGTGCAGGGCTGCCCTGAAATTCTAGAGGCAACTAAGTTCTGGAGAGAACGGCGAGGACGGACTAAAGGAATTAAAATGCCACAGGACTAATTGGCCAGCCTGAGGTGTACGCTTTCCCATCTCCAGTCCCGCAGCCACCTGGTCAACACGTTCCCGCTGTGTACCAATTTGCCTTCAATGAATGGTTAATAAAAATAAGATTCTCATATGTCAAAGTTGAGTAATCTATGATAATCCTGATGGGAAAAGACAACACTGAATCCAATACTATCTCATCTTTCCAGACTGAGTGCAAGTGCCATGCTACAAGACCCAAAAAAACGTCAGGCGTTCCTCAGGCGATCCGTTTGCGCTGCCGTTCGCGCTCACTGCCCTTTTCTATTTATTCTAGCTTGTAAATAAAGACATGGCTAGATTGAAGATACTCTCTGGCATCTTATGGCATTGGCCCTGTGCTTATCCCAAGCTGATCATCGCCTTTATATGTCAATACATAATCTGCACAAAATGCGCGGATGAAATCCACAATGAATTGCTTGCAGGACGAGTAGATGGACTACAAGTCTCTTAAATACAAAGAGACTCGAGCAAGAGTTGAGCTTGACAACGCCCTGACACCGTACTGGCGGTGTAGCTGCTATTCGTGAGTGTGTCAAAGGGCACTGCGCAATAATCAACACAGCAAATCAGTTGCATTGTGAAACGATGTGGCCCAAGTTCTGTTAAATGCGATGTCTAAACATGCAACACAATGAGATGAGCGCATACCGATATATCCTGGTTCAAGATCACATGTCGAATACACTCTGGTGGCGTCTTTTGATGAGCTTTCAGAATACACCTAGAACAACAGGCGCACGGGACGGATCCGGGAGACTGCGCAGAGATTACTCAACCGACAGCCGTCTCGGCAATAGGTCCGATAAGCCTGCCTTATCGCGTAGGTAGCAAATTTCTCTCTCTGTCTCTCTGTAATGACAACACACATTTTGCCATTGGCTCTTATTCGGCTTTTAAAGCAAAGCAATACGTTACGGTATCAGGGTCGTTCTTAGACAGATTTATGGATCCCATGAAGCCAAATCGTTCGTAAGCTGTCCATTATGGGGTTTCATGAGTTCTCGGCCTTGTGAGTACTTATATTCTCCCAGGATGGGATGCAAGGCTTCCAGCCAACAGAAAGAACAATACTTTTGCGCCAGCCCTCAGTGTAAAAGGTATCTTTAACTAAGACTTTGCCACATGAAGTTTGATATCTGACCTTAATCAGGTGTAAACTCTCTTCCACCACAACGTCTCTGCTCATCAGCTGTCAGTGATTCATGTCTGAATACATCACAACTAGGGGTGACAGACATCAGAAGTCTGGTTGAGAGTTCGAAGACATAAATGCGAGTATTTGGGACTCAACAAGGCCTCTAGTCCTAAGGTAGAATCACCTCTGCTGATAAGACACCATTGGTCTCGGGAGTCTTTGCCCATTGGTTTACTGGCAATTTGTGTACCCATGGGGCTCACTTTTATAATCCCACAGCTGCCTCTTCTGGGCAGAATGCATACGTTTCGGATAGACCGTACAGTATAAAATGAATAGAAGTTCTGCGGAATTCAACAGCCAACGCGGAAATCCAACGCGTTGATCTTGCCTTCGAGAATTCGCTGGTTGATTCCGGAGTGCTGTGTGCACATTCCCCAGTAGGTGCTGCAGCAACCAGCGCGAACCCTTTTCACGAAGAAAAGGCTCTCTGAAGCTCCCTTTGGTATCAACAACTCCAGTATTCGAAGTGTATCAAGTCAAGAAGTTGGCGGACAATGGGGAATAGTCTCCTGCATCGCATGCTACCGCTATCACAACTTGCTTCCGGTTTTCGATTGCGCTGATTACGATGACACGGTAACCTTGTGGAAAGAGTGTCGGCGCATTACGGAAATTACACGCCTGTCCCATTCTTGGGAAGAACGTCTATAACGTGCTGTAGACCCAATTTATACCAGCTCCATATCGACCATCGTCCTCGTTTCAGGCAAGAGGGGATCCGGCGCATGATGTTTCTCGACTTTGGCGTAGAACTACACAAATGATTCCATTCGGGACTGTATATGAGTCCGCCAAGCTTCATCGCCCTTCCTTGCCCGATGGTTTCTCCTGATACTCTCTGAAGGCTTGGGTACGCCTCAACAGTAAGATGGGCTTCAGTATGAGACGTTGAGAAGCTTTTACGTTTTATCACTTGACCGGCCTCTGCAGGCAGAGAAGGCTTCAAGGTTGCCAGTAATCCAGAAGATCCTCTATATTGCTCTACCCAAGATCCTGCCCGATATATGCTCCGCCTAGACAGTCGCCCGCCTTTTCCAAATCCTTATCATCCAAACACAACCCACGTCTCATACCCTCTAGTTGATAGCTCTCATGGTCATCTCGACAACCGCAAAAGTACCAGCGCTCACAGGCATGGCCCTCAGCAGAGTCGGCACGATACCCCTCCAGAACCCCCTCAGCCCCTCGCCGCGGTACGTCTGCGCGAAGCAGTCGCGCATCGTCTTGTACCTCTGCTCGGCGCCGAAGCCGTCCGTCTGCATCTTGCTCTTGACGACGTCGAACGGGTAGCTGCCGAGCCACAGGGCCTCGCCGGCGAGGCCGCCGTACCACGCGACCTTGTAGCTGGGGATCTCCTTGCGGTCGACCTTGTTGCGCGCCGCGTCCGCGTTCATCATCCACTCGAACGCGAGGAACCATACGCCGTACGCCTGCGCCTCGCGCCAGATCGTCACCGCCTCGCCGCGGTACAGGCCCTTGAGCACGCCGCCGTGCGCCGACAGCTTACGCACGCAGTCGAGCGGACCCGAGTACAGCCGCGCCGCGCCGTGCGGCTGCGTCTGCAGACGGATGCGCACGTGCTCGATGGGGCCCGAGATGACGGAGTTGGCGACGCCCGCGAAGGCGCCCGCCGCGTAGTACTGGCCGTACGAGAGCGCGGGGCTGCCGACCTTGGCGGCGTTGGCGGCCTCGAAGTAGCGGCGCGCCTGGTGGAAGGCACCGAACTGGATGGAGACGCAGGCGCCGATGCCGAGGAGGGGGGTGAGGGTGCCCTTGTAGAAGGCGAGGGGGCCTTCGTTCTTGTAGATCTGGGTGGCGGCGTCGACGGCTGTTGTTGCGGTTGTGGAGGTCTGGAGGCGGACCTTGACAATATCAAAGGGTTGGCCTGAGTACGGTTAGTACGTCAATTCATTGTACCGATCAATTGGGCTCATTGAGATGAAATATCATGAGAATATCGGTGGTGGGAGTGAGATGTCGTTGAGCTCGGATGTTCTTCCGAAGTCGGCCCCGTGCCGAAGCTTCAACTCGGGAAACACAAACTCATGCTCTCTCCGCTTGGATTTCCTCGACGATAAGACACAAAGTGAGCCCAATTCAGAGCAACTTACCCAGGAGGACCTGCGCAATACCACCAGCTGCACCGGCAAAGAGATCCTTGGCCGTCTGCAGCGCTCCGCCGCCAGCGATCTCGGGGTCGACTGCCGCGTCCGCCATTGTGTGTTCTCGGTCTGGATCTAACCCCGCGCCCAATCGCTTATCGGGGCCTCCCTCGGCTCTTTTTGCGACAGAGACTTAATGAAAAGTCTTGTGTTCGCGGCTGGATGCGAGACTAGCTGGCAGAACTGCAGCGAGAGCACGGCGGCTTCAATTGACCGAGAGGCGAAATGGTGGTTGTTGGTTGAAGGACCCTGAGCTTGAGTAGCTTTAGGTTTAGGTGAGATTTATTTATCAGCTGCCGGTTCCCCAGATAGCTGGTGTGGGGCATGCATCCAAGGCGCGAATGGCGTGCTACCGTTTGGCTCATTGTGGTCCTCAACTTGATGACTCAGCTGCGTTCCCGACAGTTGTGAGCACAATAGAGTGAGTTTCGTAGACGCAAAGTATGCCGAAATTTTGTAGTTAGGTGTTATGGTCTGCAGTAACTTCCTACCTATCAATTCAGATCATCTTCGAACTTAGACAGGCGGGCCATCCGAGAACGACTTATAACAATGAAAAACAAGTATCGTTGATATCATGCTAAGCTATGCATCAGTATAGTCGGAATATTAATCGCCATGCTGTTTGGCTTTCCCTGTAATGTCCAATATCTAGTACCGCCTGATACCCTTCTTCTCCCCGTTCGCCGCCTCCTGCGCCTGCGCATTAATCTGGATAGCCTCCTTGAGCTTGCCAATGACCTCAGGCTGGTTACTGAATGCTCGCTGCAATACCTCGTCCAGCTCCTTCTCGACCTTGCCAATCGGCTTCACTCCCACCTTTCTTTCTCTCGCGTCGTTCATCAGCTTGCCCCAACGCTGAGTGAAAGCGACGATCGACTGCCTCAGCAGCTCATCAAGCTGCTCGCTCATGTCCTCCACCGTCAACGTCTTCGCCGTTACCGACGGCTGCTGCGTGCCACCACGTGACCAGAGCGAGCCGATGCTGATGATGTTGCTGACAAGGCCGACCCAGTTCTGAGGGCTCAGGTGGTCCCAAATATGGCCAAAGTGCTGCATGGCGGCGGCGTCGCTGCGAATGTCGCCAATCTCAAGAGACACGAGTTCGTTCTTGATGATGAGGAGGTTCTTGACCATGAAGAGGTCGGCGTCGGTGCCGGCTTTGATGGACTTGATGCGTGCTTCGGCGCGTTGCAGAATTTGAATCGTTTCGCGGACGATCTTGAAGACGACTTGGCTGTTCTTTTGCTGTTGACGGTGTTATTCTGTGGTTCGAATGGATCGGAACAGTAGGACTTACGCTTCGCTCTTTCGGCATCGCTTGATCGTACATTGACAGCAGCGTCAGCGCCTGTTTCACCGTGGGGTACGCGTTGGATGTGGACAGGCCATTGATAACAGGCCCGATTGTAAGTGCGTCGTCTTTCACCACGGCCTTGGTGACCGTCTTGGTGATCTCCGCCTCGAAAGAGTTGTCGGTGAATACCCAAAGGTGCTCTGTCAACAGCCTAGCACTGAGTTCTCGGCACTGACGAGCAAAAGGAGACTCTTCTTCATCGTAGTCGAGGACCAAGTACTCATTCGTCAACCAACCGACGACACTGCAGATCGTGTCGAGGTCAGCGGATTGCAGGGCGGATTGCAGGTTTGTAGCCAAGTGCACGATGTTGGCCGGGTTAACGAGCGACCTGTTGTTTGACTTGAGAACCATGTAGGCAGACTCGAGGTCTGAGCTCCATTGGAGATCCAGGCCGAAGATTTTGGCAAACAGGTTAGACTCGTTGAAGGCGCGTTCAAACGTTTGCTTGACGTAGTTTCTCGACGCCGTTTCCACAGACAGGTCTTTGATCTCCTTCTTAAACTCGTCCACGTCGTGCTGCATCATGGGCTTCAAGTCGCGATCGCGAACGGCGAGATATGACTGGAAGAGGTTGCTGACGGTATTGGAGTATATCTCCTTGGCGACACCAGCGATGGGAAGACCGTATTCGTCGTACACGCTGTTGACGACTTTGTGGATGTTCGGGATCAACGAGTACGAGTCGAGAATCATGTCTTGGAAGCGGCCGTAGGCGATTGCATGCCGCGTCGCTTCCGACTTGGTCGCTGCGATTTGACCAGCGATCTCGGATGAGATGCTGTCCAGTCGGTTCGTGAAGCCGACCTCGAGCAGATGCAGCGCCTTGGTGAGCAGAGACTCGTAGCGCGCAAGGTAGGATTCAGCATCACGGTAGGTTGTCTGATATCTGAGGTTAGACACAGTGGCATACGAGAGACGAGGGGATCGTACATGTTTAGACATGAAGTTTATGCAGGAATCCAAGTTCCTCAGGACCTCGCCGAACGAGTCGTCGTCTACCAAACGGCCCGCACCAGGCGCGTTCAGGCGTCTTGTGACGTTGTCGAGATACAGATAGAAGTGAATATCGGTGCCAACCTCGTCCGCAAGCTTCTCGAGTCTCTGCTGCTCGGACAGCAGTTCCTCGCATTGCGACTGGAACGACGAAGTCTGGGCCTCCACAGATTGGAACGAGTCGGAGAGCGTCGTCAGGAGCTTTAGAGCAGCGTTCGTGTCGTCAATGAGAGCATCGAGGTGTCGTTCAGTCAGCGTCAATTGGTCTTTGTACAGCCTGGTCTCTGTTAGCGACCTTCCTAGAAAGTGAGGATGCCGAACGCACAAGTATTCCTGCTGGCTGGCTTCGAGAAGCTGCTCGTCACAATGGTCCAGCACTGGCCTGCGACTCAGACTGGGGTCATTAACCTGCGCCGCGACGTCCAGGGCATCCCAATTCTTGTCCTTCCTCCGCTTCCTCCTCTTCTTCTGCTCGTCTTTGGCCAATTGAGCTCGAACGACATGGTAGAAGTCGGAATACGACTTGGCGCGGCGCAGAACCGTGGCCTCAGGGGGCGTGTTTGTGTCTTCAATCTCTTCAAAGATCTCGTCGAGAGCTTCGGGGGTATCCGATGCCTGTGCGATGCCCTGCGACGCAAGCTGGTGTTAGAAAGCTGTCTAGAGCGAGGTGGGGTGGAAGCATCGCGGGCTTACGTTGGGCTGCTGCAGCAGCGACTCCTTGCGACGGTGGCCAGATCCTTGCGCGGCAGAGGCGGCCTTCTTGGCCACGTCGGGCACGAAGCTGTACCAGGAGTCGTCGTACATGGTAGGCTGGCTGCTCGGGACGGTGGAGGGAAGCTTCGGGGGTGGTGATCGGGGCAAGCTGTCCGTGTCCGGTCTGGCGCCGGTTGACGTTCCCACCTTTTGCAGCACAGCTGTCCGGTTCGGTGTGGTGCTTGCTGCCAGCTCACCTCACCTCAGCTTCAATTGCCCGTAGTGGAGGTCCCTGCCATAAACTGGGCGGAAAATCATTGGCCCCAGCTGCGATGGCTTTTCGTGGTGGGGCCCGCATGTTCCATCCGCTGCGGGGCGCACGGTCCCTGCACGGGCTGCCAGGGGTCCAAAGTCTAGATTTAGTGCTGGCGAATCGAACTTTTAGTTTTCGTGGATGACCTCACGACCTGTCAGCGACCTCCCGGCCGCACCTCACTCTGCGGTGTTCCTCTGGCTGTCTCAATGCACCTATTGCGATACAATCCGATCCCTTACTTACACCATCTTTTAATCTGATTCATCCTGGGAGCCTCACGATGAAGGCTTGCAGAACCGTCACCCACGCCCGCGCGTCTCTTACAGCGCAGAGATGCTCCTCCGCCGCCGCACGCCAGCAATGGCGTCGCCATGCCAGCGGAGGCCCTCGCCGTCCGGGGCAGAAGTCTCTACTCGGGAAGCTCGTCCCATTGGCTCTCACGGCGGGAGTCGGTGGTGGTCTCTACTACCTGGACGACTCGATGAACGGCCCCATCAAGCAGCTGCTCAGCGGCGAGAGTAAGGACGCCGACGCCCGCAAGCCAAAGTACCAGCAAGCAGAGATCGAGTTTGAGAAGTCGAGGAAGCAGTCTCAGTCCGGGTCCAAAGAGGAGAACCGCGACCTCATCAGCTCTCAGCACCTGCAGGTCAAGAAGAGCTGGGAGAACCCCGGCGTCTACGCCTGGGGCTCCAACGTGGGCAAGGTCATTGACCCCAAGGCCAAGGAGAGCGTCGTCAAGCTTCCGAGGAGGATTCCTTACTTTGACGGGAAGCTGTTGAGGGACCTCAAGCTGACGCAGGATTTCGGCGCCGCCGTTACGGAAAAGGGCGACATTGTGCAGTGGGGATTGGGCTTCTCAAAGACGGACCCTTCACCTGTCGAGACGCTCAAGGGCAAGGACATTTCCAAGATTACAGTTTCCAGCGACCGCATCATCGCTCTCTCATCAAATGGATCGGTATACTCACTCCCGGCGGCCCGCAATGACCAAGAGTCCGGCGCCAAGCTGGAGCCGCAGTCAAAGTCGTCGTCCTGGATCCCCTTCTGGAGCTCCAGCGGCCCCGAGACCGTCAACTTCAGAATCCTGACGCCAAAGTCGCTCAGCCGCGGTGAGAAGGTCATCGACGTCAAGAGCGGTCTGCAGCACTGCCTGCTGCTGACGTCCAAGGGACGTGTCTTCTCCGCCGCCGCCAGCACCTCCGAGTTCCCGTCCAACGGGCAGATGGGCATCCCCGGTCTCAGCTGGACATCCCGCCCCGCCGGCCCCTACGACCAGGCGCACGAAATCACCGGGCTCTCCGGGTTCAAGATCGCCAAGATCGCCGCCGGCGACCTTCACTCCGCGGCCCTGGACAAGGACGGCAAGCTCTTCACCTTTGGCGACAACACCTACGGCCAGCTCGGACTGCCCGCAGAGGCCATCTACCAGAGGATTGACGTGCCCTCCCTCCTGCCCACCGCCAAGCTCTACGCCAACAGCGGCCTGATCCCCAAGATCACCTCCGTCGCCGCCGGCGGCATGAACACCTTCTTCACCGTCGACGCCGCAGAAGCCGGGGGCATCCAGACCGCCGCCACCACCGGCGACCTCGCCCCCGCGCGCCGCATGCCCCGCATCGCAGCCGACCTCTGGGCCTGCGGCCAGGGCGTCTACGGCTCCCTCGGCACAGGCAAGTGGACGCACGTCACGCCG